AGAAAGGGAATGCTAGAAAGGAAAAGGAAAGATGAGCACATTTATGTTTTTGATTCTAGTAGTTTCGTGACAATATTTAGTCGAATGACTCGTATATTTGATATAAAAACTTATTTTGCCACAAAATTTGTTTGTATTTTCCTTTCTTTAACACAGACAAATCCACCCACATTTACCTACGGAGGTAAAACGATCTCCCCATGTTTTCTTAATGTTCCCTACCCAACTGCGGATAAGATGCGGCGTAAGACAGAAACGTGAGGAGGTTGATTGACATTCTTGACAAACGTTCTCATTTACCTCTCAGAAATAAAAGGCTGCTTTACAATACCGTAATTAAGCCAATATGGACTTACGGACTGGAAGTGCGGGCTTCAGCCAAACATTCCAACATCCGCCGCATTCAAACTGCCCAGTCCTTAATCCTTCGAAAAATACTATCGAACCTAACCACACATACAGACTTATATATCCCATTTATACATGCTTTCCCGTATGCTCGGTCGTCCTTAAAAGGACAATGAGGAACTTTAACCTCCGCACCTAGCCTATTCGGCCTTATCGGACGTTTTGATTCTCAAGATGAGAGCTGACCCACCTCCATACACGACCGAATGGTGTTATTGCCGCAGCATTGGTATAGAGGTAGCTCAGCCCCGAAGGCCCAAGACAACCTCGCTCCCCGCTTGCCCATTCCGAGTGGTCGGGCCTGCATTAAGCATCAGACCGTATGCCGAGCGCAAAGGGCTACCTAAGCCGAAATACATCAGCCCGTTCTCCCGCGCACTCCCTAAATAGGGAAGGCCACTCTATCTCCCAGAATATTGGGGCTTCTTTAGCGTAGAAACTACCGGATCCGCTCAGGCCGCGGTTTTGTTTAAAGTGGAATTGCTAACCACCCCCTAGGGGAGTACCGCCTAAAAGCCTCCAATCGAGGTAGGCCTACACCTACTTGCAAAGCATACTCGAGTAGGAGCAACCTATTCACTACCTGAGGGGCGTCACCACAAACAACTACGAAACCATTCCCAGTGTAACAGGGGCTGAATTTTGGAACATTTCTGTTACCCCGTAGTACAGATGGTTATGCACCCTCCCCCGTCTATGCAGACAGGATCTGGTACCCTAACCCTCGAGTACAGCTTGTGCTTTAGAGAGGTTGCCACGCCCTATGGGGTACACCGTTATTTTGCGCCCGGGCACCTCCCTTGTAACCAAGGGTTGGGAGGGGGTCACAGGATAGAATGAAGGAACCTGGATTGAGAAAGGGACGTGGATGAGGACACGAGGTACCCTTTTCAGGGACCGAACCTTAGCCACATTATACCACCTGTCGTCACTGTAGTTCCACATCGAGTGGGCTACAACTCCCTGGGTGGGTATCCCTTTCATACAAGATGAAATCCGATCCCGTTACCGCAAATTTCACAAAACCCTCCCAACTACCGTCCATCAGAACGTCAAACCCCTCGAACCTCCTCGCCAACTGAAGAAACAATGGCCGCGAGATCTCCTAGGATGTGATAGTGAAAGTGATAATGATTTTTTTTGTATATATTACCTTGCCCATTGTTACATGTTACCTACTTGTCGGTAGTTGAAATCTACTACAAATTATTATTTTAAAAAAAATTTCCTTCATAATAAGGCTAAAACCTATGTAATAAAGACTCGATAAAACCGGTTAGATTTGGATTTTGTTTGGACAAGTCAATTTGAGATTTACAAATTAAATATAAAAAATTTAATCGATAGCAATCAAGAAAGGGAGCCAAGAAATTGCTTCCATTCCTGAAAGTTTGCCTGAATTGAAAAGAATGTCAAATGGGCTTGCAACAATGGTCGGTTGTTTAATTGATTATAGCTCATTAAAAGGGGCCGAGGTGGAATAAAGGGAAGGGTTTTGCAGTGGCATGAAAGATACCAGCATCTCACGCTCAGCTGGCACTGATTTAATCTGCAAATAGGCAGACCTTTGCTACGGGATATCCCACCCTCCCTTTAATTACAATGTTAAACAATGTCTGTCTCTCTCTGCCGTCTTTGTGTCAACTAGACCGCTGGCCTGATTCCTTACTTCATTAATAAATCCACAATTAAATGATAATTTATTCGCTTTGTATTAGTCAGCAAATAAATATTGTTTATAAAGTCTGTATGTACGGTTAGTTAAATATGCATACGATAGCAAGAGACAAAAAAAGTCATCAAATTTTTATACAGATCAAATTTTCCTCAAGGCGGCTATAACGTATAACCCATAAATATATTCATTATTCATTAAATAAAAGGAAATTGGCTAATTTTAATTTTAAATTATTAGGTAAGTTAGTTGTTTATTTTAAAAACTGCCGATCTATTTATTGAGATTTGTCTGTCTATATTCAAGATCAGATAGTCTTGCGTTCCTAGCGTGTGTAGAGAGAAAGAGTAAAATTATTTATTAGCGTGAATGTATAGTTTGATAGGGCAGATGGCGGAATATTGAGTAGCCCATCGACCTTAATTAGGTTAATTATGCAATTAGGTGTAAATTGTGAAGGAAGAATATCAAGTACTCCACCCAAACTGAATGAATGGTTTGTAAATATGAAAATAGGAAAAGAATGTATTCAAAAGTGGTTTAAAATATAAATGTATTTAGGAAACGATTGTGGGCTGAAATGAGCTAGCAGTTGATATTGTGGAGTAAAGTATAACATTTTCAAAAACTTGACAAGAGATAAAGCAATTAATTATTAATATGGTGGTAAGAATAGGTAAAAAACGTTCCTTTCATTTTGACAGCCAATAAGACATGCTTTATTTCTATATTTGCCAAAATTTCAGAAACCCTAACTCTTTTGCAAAAAAAAAAGATAAAGTAGAAGTTGTAAACAAAACCAATTTCTTTTAATATAATAGGACAAATATGTTGTTTATGTCTGTTTATCACAGCATATCTCAAACATAGAAAAATGTAAAATTCATTTTAAAAGAAATTTAATTTTCTGAAAAATGTATTTCGTTACTATTTGAAAAAAAATTCAACTGTTTCTGAAATAAACTGGTCACAAATGAATAGGGATATTGCCAATTTTGTAATATTTTCTTTCCCTGACATTTGTATTTTATTTTTATTATAAATTGCATTAAAATTTATGAGAAATTATTCTATTATGTTTTTTCTGAAGGAAATTTAACTAAGGGATTTTGAAACCTACAAAATAAAATGTTTTATTTCCATAATTTTGTTTATTCGACACAATGATTTTTTTAAACAATTAATACTGTGTATAATGTCCTCTGTAAACTAAATAAGGTTGTCTCTAATTTCATATGGAATTTCACTCCATAGATGTTACAACGCTGCACTCAGTTGTTGCAGGCCAACAGGCTGCGGATGGTGACCGAAAAGTCTTGATACGATTTTCAGGAGAAACAGGACTGTTTTAGTGTTTTTAGTATTTTACATGACATTTCCTCTTCTGTCTCTTTATGTCTATTCAGAATGAATGTATTTATTAGCAATAATGTGTAACGTGAAAGAGTCGATGGCGGAATATTGACCCTCAAATTAGATTAGTTATGTAATACGGTACAGTGTGAATATCAAGTTCTCCCCCACCCAAACTGAGTGGTTTACGTGAATAGGTAAGAATTAAAAGTGAGTGAGAGTGTGGATTTGGATTTTTGGATTTAGGAACTGTTTGCGAAGGCTGAAATGACCTAGAAGTTGATAGCCTCTGTAGCCCAACCTAGACGGCTGAAGTATAAGACTGTACGTACTGAAGTATAAGACGGTAGACTGGACTGCCAATACCTGAGGTAGGTGATTCTCTAGGCCTGCGGGTAATTTATTATAAATTGCAAAAGCTGGAATTGCCGGTGGACTGCGAGAAGTGATAGGCCCAACTCTGTATACGCGTGTATATACATTCTGATTACTACGTCGACTACTGTAAAGAACACAAAAATTAAAAAGAATGACACCATTTAAGAAATACAAAATCCAAGTAATAAATGAATCCGTAAAAGAAAACTCAGACGGTGATAACACCAACTTATTTCTTCCACCTGTAGCAAATTTATAAAAGGGACTCCGCTGAAATTACACATACTGACTTCTGAGGAGGGCGAGAAGTCGAACAGTTGCAAATTTAGTTGTTTTTTTTACTGATTTTAAATTGAAAGTTCTAGAAGAGTGCCTTCTTAAAAGAAATTTAACGCAATTTTCAATGCATTTATTGGATTTCCTCAAAAATGAATAGTTCCAGAGCTAGGAGTAGCTTTATGATGAAAACCCTAGTTAGTTGAAAGAAACATAAAATGTTTAATATCTTCGAAAGAGTCGAGAATCGGACCATGGTGTGTAAGGTGTTTGTTCTTCGTTTGGAGCGGAGAATATGCTGATAAAGTTAATCTATAAATTAAGTAAAGTAAAGTGATTCCTGGCATAGAAGAGTCCTTTACGTCCAACTACCAGTTAGGAGTGATAATATATCCACACTATTATTTTATTTTCAATTCCCAAAGAAAATTTCAATAGAAATGCCGGGTTTTGAATACAAAACCTTAATGGTGCCCATACGAGAGACGGACCCCACCGTGCTCCTATCAGTTTTAATATCTAAAGAGATACGAAGAGATTTGCCAAAAATTACTTTCTTAATTTCTTACCACATTAGTAAAGATTCAAATTCACTAATTTCGTGGTCCACTTGACCAATTAATACATTACAATTAATTAAGGTTTTTAGTTGAGATGGAAAAAAGTTAACGGCACGAGAGGGATTCGAACCCACGACCTTCAGCTTGATACGCCGCTGCTCTACCTCGATCGGGTTGAGATGGGGAGTTGATGTCCGAGTGGATCGAGGTCACGATAGCTCAGGTGGTAGAGCAGCGGCGTATCAAGCCGAAGGTCGTGGGTTCGAATCCCTCTCGTGCCGTTAACTTTTTTTCATCTCAACTAAAAACCTTAATTAATTGTAATTAGTAAAGATTTTCTTTTTTAGTACCTTCGTGATAGGATTCTTGTAGTTTCTTGGAGTGCTGTGCCCAAAAGGGAGATGGTCTGATCAGTGACCGTTCGAGGCGGATGACGGAGGCCGACCTTCTGCCTCGCGATCGTAAAAGCCTCGTTGACGTCTTCGTACCGTATGCATCGGTTCCGACCGCTGAAATTCAGAAGATCTCCATGAAAAAGAGAAGAAACGGACAAAGAGGGTAAACTTGAAATATTGTAGCAATTATCCGTAGTTAGGTCGTTTCCATCGTACGAAAACAGCTAGTACGAGCGGGCCAAATTGATCTGGACTGCAGTCTCATACCCGGCAAACTTCCAAAAGAAATCTCATCGGAAAGAAACACACAAGTTTTCACAATTGATACTGCTATTAGTGCTAAATAGTGAGTGATAGCAGTCTGAAAATTTAGCACATGATCAATTTAATTTAAATAACTTTACCTACCTACATGGACTGGGACTGGCGTTCCCTGCATCATATTCCTAGTTCATAGTGTACCGTATGAAATGTCAGTTTTGTTTACTTTCAATTCAACGTTTAAAAACATAGTTTGCTTTCATTTGTGAAACTTCTCCGAGAAATAAATTATTATCAACAATAATCACCTCACCGGAATTATATATTATATATTATGCAATTATATATTATGCAAATTATATATTATGCATAATTTGTCGGTATGAATTTAAATTCGGCCATACCGCTGCTGAAGCATCAATAAAGATTCTGCGAACAAACTGTTTACCGGTGGTTTTCAAGATTTCGGTGAGGCGATTTTGAACTTGACAACAAGGAACGAGGTAGGCTGGAAACCAAATTGGACAATATCCAGCTGATGGCAGTGGTTGTGTCTTGTCCTTCAAAAAGCACTAGGGACTATGCCAAAAAAATGGGAGTAGTTGCTATGACTGTTTCAAGGGATTTAAAAGAAATCGGGAAAACAGAAAAATTGGATAAATGGGCACCACACGTCTGCACCACAGAAAGACAAAAGTTACGCCATTTGTTCTTTGCTTTTGCTGCGAAACCACAATGAACCATTTTTGAACCGGGTTCTCACTAGTGACGAAAAGTGGGTCCGGTACGAGAATCAGACAAGGTCATCTTTATGATTGGACTGAGATGAGTCGCCAAAGCAGACGGCAAAGTCAAGCCTGCTCCCCAAAAAAATTATGCTGACAGTTCGGTGGGAATAGGTAGTTTGATCCATTTTAATTTTTTAAACCATCGTATTGACAAGAGTTAGACATTTTTTTTATCAGAAACTCCGAGAAAAACATCCAACTTTGGTGAATGAAAAGGCACCTATACTCCTCCACGACAATGCTCGTCCATACGTTTCAAGTTAGAATGCAAAAACTTCAAGACCTAAAAATCGAAGTTCTTCCACACCCACCGTAAACACCTGATCTATCGCAAACTGACTTCAACCTTTTTTTATGCCCTGGACGGTTTTCTAAAAAATTTTTCAAACTGGAGATTCTCTCAAAACAGTAATCCAAGAATTCCTAAAATTTCGAAATCCAAACTTTTATGAGGATAGGATAAAATAGCTTACAACACGTTGGGAGAAGTGTATTTCAACTAATGGAGAAATGGAATTTTAATTAATTAAAGATTGATTCCAGCTTTATAATATTACTTCAATTACTGACATTTCATACGGTACAACCGGATAATAATTGTCTAAACTAAAACGTTTTTAGATTGATGGTGATGTTGATTGACTTTAATTGGGACGCATCTGTAAATAGGATAGACGATAGACGATAGATTGGCTTTGATCAGTATTGAAAAAAAAAAACGTGGTAACTAGTCAGAAAATTTTGTCCTCGCATACTTTCAGTCATGTGTATTGCATGTCATATAGAACAGACGTCAAGTGTATATTGTATATTCTTTATACAAGCAGGAAAAATGTGTACGGCTCAGAAGTGTTTATATCCGAAGTTGACACTGAGACCTTTAGATAATGTGTGAAATGCAAACAATTTTTTGATTACCATCAGTGAGACATTCATATTCCGCTATCGAGTTAAATAACGTTTGGTCAATAAGTCCATAAGTCAATATTTCTGTTTTCTTTTCTTGTGTAATTAAACCACATAATTTCAACGTGTCCCCTGGAGGTTTTTGGAAATTCCGACTTGTTATTCGTCAGGGGTCGGCGGTCTCTTCAATTCTAATAAATTTCGGTACGGTTAGGAGACAGGAAGTCGGTAAACACATTTACCTCCGCCCCTAGCTCCGACGGGAGCCGAAATGAAAACAATTTAATTTATTGCCGCATCTCCTTTTAATTGTTGCCGGCCCATTTGTCTGAATTACCTGTTCCAAGAAGAAGGAGGCAGGAGCAGGGCGCAATCGGACCGATCCGCGTAGCTTTTCGTATCCTGCGAATCTCCTGGTGCAAGTAGAGCGAGTAGGGCAAACCACAACCTGAAAAAAAATTCTGTTTTTATTTGCCGTACCACAGGATGAAAGTACACGCAAAAACCGCAACATCCCGCTCTGTACCCCCGGCCGAGACATTGAGGATACAGGTCGACCACAGAATTACAAATCGTTCCTTGATTGTTTGAAGAAAGACGAAGAAAAAGTCCATTACCTACTATTTAAAGTTTTTTTTCTATTTTAAGAAAAACGGTCCTTCGAGGCTCAAGGTGGCGCATCTTTGCTAACTCCACTTCCTAGCAATGATGTCATTCGTCCTCGGGTCGGGAAAAATTAACGCCGGAAAAAATGTCTCTTATGCTATTGTCTGACGACCATTTATTTATTTTTTTTTTTACTTTAAATTTTCAAAGCTATGGAGCAGGGCGCATTCATCTGGTTACATGAAAACAACCAAAGAAAAAGTTCCCCGAGTAAAAAAAGAGATGCTTAGGGCTAAAGTTTGATTATCGATGATATTACATATTATTTATTATGTCCTGTAAACAGACGTTAATACTTAATACGTTAGGTGTAATAAATCTCAATTTGGACTAATAATTCCCATGTGTCTAAAGTTTGATTGCATTCTACAGCTTTCACTTTTCACTCACCTTTTTTCCATAAAGCTTTTTCTGTATCTCATAAAATGTTAATCGTACAATAAATTTCATTACACCGATGGAAATAGAATTGAAAAATTTGTAAGATTCATCTGGTGAATTAATATTGTTTATGGCTCGCAGTGCAAATATTCTCATTTTGTCTTTAGCTTTTCTATAAAATAACAAATTCGTGAAATGGTTCAGTCTTCTTTCTTTATGGTGATGTAAATATTATATATATATATATTACGCAGGGTGGGCGACCAAGACCCGAGGGTTTAAATGCCTAGGTAGACTCGTACCCCATCCCCTAAAAGGTACGGGACTAGGTCGGCTCACGAGTCCTGCATAAACCTCTTGGACCTATTCACAAACCCCAAGATTTTGGACCATTTTATCTTGGGGAGTGATTTAGCAATGTCCTCTCCTTCAAAAGTTTCAAATCTATCCCTGGCATACCTATCACATTCTGCGAGGTAGTGTCGAGCCGTTTCTTCTTTTATTTCACAGAAGAGGCAAAAGGGGTCTGGTAGAATACCCATTATAAAGAGGTGTCTTCTCAAGGGGCAATGGCCCGTTAGGATACCTATCAGCCTCTTAATTCCCCTCCTTCAGTTAGAGAATAACCATTTCGCTTCTTTTGGTTTGATTTCCTTCAGAAACTCCTTCGATTGCCTATGTCCGGGGGACAGATTCCATTCTTTAAGGAATTATTTCATGCCCCAGCAATTAATACTCTCTTTCTCTGTGATTATAGAGTGGGGTAATACCGGCTGGGCCCGACAAACGCAGCATTTGAGTCTTCTTTGGCCAGGCTGTCCGCCTCTTCATTGCCATAATGCCCCTTATGAGCTGGTATCCATATGAGGGTTACCCTATTCTCGTACCTGGTAGTAATCCTATTAATAAGTTCAACGGTTTCCTCTACCAGCCTAGATGTTGATGATTTTTGTGTTAATGATAGCAACATCTATTGACTTGGTCATAAAAGTCCATAATGCAAAGAGAGAGCTGAAGAAGGGATTGCTACCAAGACTACCCGGCTTAGAGGAACATGAAGCGAATTGTTTAAGAAATGCACCCAACAGCCAGCGCCAAACTTTTCTGAACGAATGGGTAACCGACACCTGGCAAAGCAGATAGGAAAGTAGTATCAAGGGCAGGCTTACTTATGAGTTCTTTCCCATCATTAAAGAAAGAAAAAAGCAGAGTTGGGTGCAACCAGATTTTTGGTCCACACAAATGCTTACGGGGCTAGGAAACTTTGCAGTTTATCTGCACAAATTCAAGAGAGCTAATACCCCAAACTGTCTGTTATGCAATGTTCGTGAAGACGTACGACACAAGCTATTCTTCTGCCCAAGCTTTGTACAACTTCGTCAGGACCTGCGAAACAGTTTTCAGAATATATGGCCTCCAGAATTGAAGGAACTTGTGTAAAGCGAGCAAACGTATCATGTGTTCAAACAGCTTACACAGAGCATCCTAGCGGGTAGTAAACCAAGTACCTGAAAAAAAACCTAAACCACCTGTGATTAAACTGTGATAAATTTAAGTGTGTAACCTTAGTACAGATAATTCCGGGCTGGTTACCTCTTTAAAATAAGTTAACATTGTTATATAGTACCTAAAACTGTGATTGTTCTTTATTGCTTAAATTAGTATATTTATATTGTTTTGTAATTTTACATAGTTTTTATAATTTTAATTTTGAAACTTTATGTAATGATTGTATGATATTACTGGGCGAAAAGGAGTAACCAGCAAGGGGGAGACCTATTAGATTAGGTCAATTTAAGTAATACAGAGAGGAAAAATATATATACCCCTAACCTTCCTCGTGCCCCTCGTTTAGAGCGAGGCATAAGGAAGGCGTTATGCTTCCATTTTCCCCCATACAAGAAAATAAGCCAGTCTAGTGGCCGAGGTCCGCCGGTATGGGGCTCCCTCAGGTACGGCGGGGCGGTGGATGGGGAAAAAAAACTATTTTTGTAATGACTTAAGACTGGCCTGACTGTCGGAAAAAATTCTAATATCTTTTCCCTTAATCTTGTTATCCATGAGGGGTCTGCAGCAAACATTGATGGCCCAGACCTCCGCCTGAAAGACCGAGGTGTTATTACCAAGAGGGGAGGAAATGCTGATCCCTAATTTAGGTATATGTATTCCAGCACCGCTTCCCTTGTCCTTAATGAGTGAGCCGTCGGTGAAGCAGTCTAGGCTACGATGGTCATCATCCGCACTATAGTTATAATCACAGGGAGTAACTACCTGAAAGTGCTTTTTCCCTAAAGGTGTTTTCACCTTTTTATCGCTAACGCCCTGTAGTTGGTTGTTGACCTTACTCAATAAATGTAGAATTTTCGAGTGACCTATATTGTTTCCCTTATGGTTCCAGCTGCCTTCACTAATTAATCTATAGCAGCTGGTTAGTGCTCTTACCTTAACCTCTATATGTAGAGGTGTAATATTGGTTATTATTTCAAGTGCTAGGGTGGGTGTAGTGCTCCCGTCATCATCATACAGCCTAGTCTTTGAAATGACCTTAATTTGTTAATATTCCCTTTATTTTCTAGCCCTTTCCACCATACTAGGGCTGCAAATAGAAATCTAGGTAGAATAATTGCGGTATATATCCATTTGGCCTCCCAATGTTTGATACCCCATGTTCTACCAACAATTCTCCTACATTGCACCATAGATAATGTACCTTTCCTGTACATGTTTTTAATGTGGCCTTTCCAATTAAGTTTCCTATCAAGCGTTACCCCAAGGAATTTGATTGAATCCCTTAATTTTAATTCGATACCCGATGTAAATATTATCAGAACAGAGAAAAATCTTACTTAAACTTTATGCATGTACTTTGAAAAGTCGTGAAAATTTATCCTCTAGTGTATTTTGTTTATTAAGGTTACAATAAATAAACAGATAAACCTTATAGGGTTTTTTGAATGCTCTTTCTATTGGTGTAATTAAATTCACTATAAGATTAACATTTTACGAGATAAGGAAAACTTGATGGAAAAAATTTGTGAAGGTTGAAGTAACTTGTTAAGTGAAGTATATGGAATAGAGTTGAGAATGTGGCTTCGAACAACAGGGACTTTTTAGTTCAAACCTGAAATATTGATGTCAGTTCATTGGATACCACATATACATGCCTAATTTTATAAACAATTCTATTTTATAAAATGAATAAATAAGTTAAAATTGATCTTTGACATATTTAAAAACAAGCAACACAAATGGTTTTAAAATAATATCTTCTTTTATACTTTTTCAAAACATAAAAATTTGATTAAACAGCATGAATGTGCATGATATAGGCCGGATTTTAGTACGATCTTGTATCATGATATAAATCTTTTTTTTTTTTTTTTTTTTTTTTTACGTAGCCTAGAGGTTTCATGAAAAGTAAATGTATCTTCATTGACGATTCGATCCTAAAGAATCAACGGGCATTGTACACGGAGGAAAGTGAGGGTGTGAGGACTTACCGAGTCATGTCTTCAGCTCCAGAACACTAACCGGTCCGAAGGAAATCCCGCAAACATTATTAGCATACAAAACCCCTCCATCCGCTGTTCCGTTCTCAAAGAGCTGTTTCATTCAGTCTTCATCCCCTACTCCTCGGATGCCCTTCTTCAGCCCCTCTACTGAAGCACGTCCTTCCCCTTCGGATAAGCCGAGATCGGCTCAATCCGCCGACGATAAGCACGGTCCATCACGGGCTCTTCGCAAAACCGAAATTAGGTCGACCGGTTTGACCCGTTCATTCCAATTACGTAGGGATATAGGTCGTATAAAGATTTGCGATTTCTCGACAGATCGATAGAAGAATCCATCTAAGAAGGCATCTGAGTGTCAATGCCAAACCACACCCAAAAAAAAATCTTTAGAATTTTTTTCTTCGCAACTACTTAAAACATTTCCTTACTCAAAGAAGTACCAAAATTCAAGTACAATCAGTCGTCGGTCGGAACTGGAGAGCTAGTAATGGTTTGACAGTAGTACACAAAATTATTGTGTATGCGAAAGCAAAACCTACAAAGAGAAAAACATTTTCTACCTATTCCTTTCTGACCTTCAATTATATTTTTACTTTTTACAAATTGCGTTATTATATATGACAGTCAACAGAATTGAAACGGTATGACCATTCAAACAAACGGCTTGGTACAAAACATATTGAATTTTCTATGTTTGGACGAATTTAAATTTTTAGGTAAATTACTCAATTCATTGTAATTTTCCCAAATAAATAAATTTGCTTTTCAATCATAATTCAAATTGCTCTACTACAATGGCAGATGATGGGTCATCAATTGCTAAAATAAAATAAGACATAATTAATTATTTTATTTAGAGGTCGTGAGATGCGGTCTGGTGTGACGTAGGTTTTAGAAAAATATTTTTTTTGTCGTGCCAACGTTTCGATCTTTATTGAGGACATCTTCAGGGCCTGGGATTTATAAACATTGTTTAAATTTTACAAATACATTTAGGATGTGAAAAAAATGAATTTATACAATGCTAGAAAATTTTAGGTTAAAAAAGCAAAAAAGAAAATTTTCATTTTTTTATCTAAAATTTTCTAGCATTGTATAAATTCATTTTTTCACATCCTATATGCATTTGTAAAATTTAAACAATGTTTATAAATCCCAGGTCCTGAAGATGATCTCAATAAAGATCGAAACGTTGGCACGATGAAGAAAATATTTTTCTAAACTCTACGTCACACCAGACTGCATCTTATGACCTCCAGATAATAATTAAGTAACGGTCATTAAACACTACACATTAATTATTTAATGAAATTTTGGTTTTAGAGTTAGTCGGGTCAATTTGAGTTTGTTTTTTAAGAAAAACTTGCAATTGTTATAATTTTTATTTTTTGATGTTTATTTGATGTTTTTTTAAAGAAAAATATAAGATATAGCTATATAAAAAAATTAAACTGGGTGTAACTGTTTTATCAAAATGTTGCTTTGGAATCAATGAAGAAAATATTCAATTCAGTGCCTAGTATTTCCTCCCCTTGCGTTGATCATTCGACGTGTGCATCGAATTTATGAGGTTTTGAATGTAGTGCTGTGGAACACTTTTCATACTCCTCCAATAGCGCCGTTCATAATCTCTGAAAATTCTCTGGCATCACAGGGCGACTTTTTACGCTCTTTGACAACTCGTTCCAATGTCGTTCAATAAAGTTTAAGTCGAGATTAACTGATGCCCGTTCCATGTAGTCACCGACGATCCTAGCTGTGAGGGGCATTGTCAAGCATAAAAATAAAACCGTCGCAAATTAATAGAATATAAAGAATAACTTCTTCTCATAATTCATCTTCAATGTATCGTAGAGCTGTTAGGGAAAAGTAAAAGTTATCAAAATTTACCATAACCAAAAAAATCCAACTATTTTTTACGACTTACGCACATTTAGTTACGACTAAAATTAGATTTTGAAAAAAGCTTCACTAACCTGATTATGTATATTTATTTATTAACTATTCCCTTAAGTCTATTTAATATATACGTGGTTATTGGAAAAGTAGAGTCTTTTTGTCAAATGAGAATATGTAATTCCTACACTTTCCCAATTGTTACATCGTTATTTAGAGATTGAAAAAATATTATTTTTAGTGTATTAATTTCTTTGTTGGTTACATAAAAATAAAAATGTTCTACGAGGCAGAATCTTCTAATTTGGTACGTTTTAAAAAGATAAATCAACAAGATACTGTTTTTTTTGCATATTTCTGTAAGCAAACATTCTGTAAGCAAAGTAAGTCAGAAAAAGGTCAAAACTTGGATTAGACCTCATTTTCGTGATTCTAGCGTTATAAAACCCTAAGATACCGATCAGGGTAAATTAATTTTTTGACTGATAATTTCGACGACCTTCTTGCCAGATTGACATTCCTAGTGCAAGCTCTAATATTATTTTCATGGCTGATAATTGTTTTAAAGAAATTCCCAAGTGCATTTTACAACTGTATTAAACATTCAAATCGGACTGTTATTTCCATTTAAAGAACGAGGTTAATTTCTGACTAATAATTTTGCTATTTTGTCTATTTTTATAGATATATTTTAATGGTACAAATGTCGTTGAAAAGCTACGTTTCTGTTCGTTCAGAGGTCTGTTTGACGTTAAAATCCTTTTAGCCGTTTTTTAATTATAACGTTTTAATCAGATATTCCGATAACGCTCTCGAAAATCGGCAAAATTTTAAGGGTTAAAAAATTTAACAATGTAAATTCTAACAAAAATTTATATTTGGGGGACTCTAGAAGTGTTACAACGAAATTTCATATTAGTTTCACGAAAAAAAATATATTCTAGTTTACTAAAAATATTTGGTTTTTAGATTTTTTTATTGATAAATTCATTATATTTCAAGGTCCTATTGTTCAAATAACCTATTTCAATTAATTAATCTTTATGTAAGGTATTGGTTGAAGTGAAAAAGTTAGTGTCACGAGCGGGATTCGAACCCACGACCTTCGGCTTAATACGCCGCTGCTCTAACCACTTGAGCTATCGTGACAATTGGGTTAGAAGCCCGCTCGTGACACTAACTTTTTCATTTCAATTAATACCTTACATAAATTAAGGTTTTTAGTTAAGATAAAAAAGTCAATGGCACGAGCAGGATTCGAACCCACGATCTTCGGCTAGATACGCCGCTGCTCTACCACTTGAGCTATCATGACCTCGATCCACTCGGACACTAACTTCCCATCTCAACCCCACCTTTTGAATTTTCCCTCCTTTTTGCCATTTTTCAAAACCCTAATTAATTGTAATATATTAATTGGTCAAGCGGACCATGAAATTAGTGAACCTTACATAAAGATTAATTAATTACTGATAAACTTTAACAGCTATTATATTTTTATTGCAAACTAATAAAGATGTAAAATGATATATTCACATAGTAGATTAGAGCAAGTAGATAGGCGAAATAAAAATATTAAAAACGGAAAATTTCAACTTAAAAAAAAAACTGGCGAAACCAGGGTGATTCACGGGAAGTGGCGGATACGGGTCCGATATTTTGGAGTGTAGAATCACCAAAAAAAGTTTGTCCAAAACCGCGCCCCACCAACCTGGTCACGCCAAGTTCAGCCAAAAGTTCAACAAACTTACATATTTTCCTTGGGGAGCTTGTGGATTAGAAGTCAAAGCCTTAATTTTGGTTCTACCAACCCAAATAACTCCTCCGTCCAATTCCTTTTCGGATTAACCGTCCCTAACCTTCCAGATCGTTAATAAATAAAGAAAATAAAAGGAAAGGGTAAGTCTGGGTTTTATTGTTTGAAGTATATCGCTTGCCCGTATAATTAATAACTCATTAATAGACTTTATATTGTCTCTTGTAATACACATAAATAAATATTTTTCTGTGTTCTTCACAACAATATTTTTGTTTTTATAAGTTCTGCGTGAAGAGGTAACATTTAAGAATTTGCCTTAAGCCCTGTGTAGAATTAGAATTTGTTCCTTAATGGGCCCCCGATTAATTAGTTAACGACTTCTAAGAGGGATCACAGGGGGTCACAGTAGATACCAATCAACTTTATCCCCAGGTCAATAAATATGCAGTATCATCCTCGTTCAGCGAAACCAGACGACTCAACGATGGAGTTGTTATTTATTATTCATTGTGCTTCAACTTTAGCCAGTATATTGAACAAAGAAAACAACGGTTAATAAATCAATATGAGGCGAGGATATATTTTAAGCAAAAGCAATTCCGTGCCGTCAAAATATCTATTAAAGCTAGAAATAAAAAGTCAGATTTAATTCACAACGTTCATATTACGCATTTGATTATCGGCAGAGCTTCGATCGAATCAAATCATTATAAATAGACCACAAGAATATTCATCAGTATAAAATTTAATTATGAGATTTCTCCATGTGGTCTGCGAGTTGATTATTATCTTTAAATTATTCTGAAATCGTGAGATGCGGTCTGGTAAGATGTAGGTTTCAGAAAAATATTTTCTTTATCGTGCCAATGTTTCGATCTTTATTGAGATCATCTTCAAGGCCTGGGATTTACAAACATTGTTTACATTAAACAAATACATTTAGGATGTGGAAAAATGAATTTATACAATGCAAAATATATTTTTTATATTCAATCAAAGTATTTCTACTCACTCCAAGTGTTTGTCTTCTGTGTAATTGAGCTATTCTTGCGTGTCGTGTAGAGAGCGCCAGTGAGATTTTGATGTTTTATGTTTATATACCTTGGATTTTGAAGGGATGAGGAAGGAAGTCGGTATAGAAAAGACATTTTTGTATAAGGCGTCGGTTTCTTTGAGGTGAAAAGAGCCGACGAAGGGAAACAATGTGTTGGTAATGGTTCGGCCAGATTATCCTTTCAGGATTATATAGAAATGGATAAATAGGAAAAGGAAAGCTAAATTGTTGGACAATTAGACTATGTGAAAAATATTTGATGTGTGGAATGTAATGTAATGATATATGTATGTTATCTATATTGAATTTGATTAATGATATTGGCGTAGCTGCGACTGAGTTTACATGTATCTGTTCTGTAATTGATGCTATGTTTATCTCTGCTGATATAAACCATTTCTAAGAAATTACGTTTATGTTTGTTTTGTTCTGTATGTAATATTTTGGGATTTTTGAAGTCGAAATTGTGTTGGTGTTCAAAATGGTGGGAAGCGAATGCTGTAAGATTTTGCTTGGGTTTTTTGCAATCATAGATATGTTGCTTTACTCTGTCC